TGTTCCTTGGAGGGGGCGTTGGGGTGTTCTCCTCCAGGACTTAGTTGATCCCGTGTGTGGGCAAGGTCGAGGGACACGTGTATAAAGCGACCACAGTATAGGGGCCAGACTGAGCTATACCGATTACAAGCGGCCAGATGTCTATTGTTGTAAAGTTGGAAAGTCGGGGACATATGGTGAAGATATATGTCCTATGTTGAGATACATAGTACTAAGGTGATAAGTTGAAAGTTGTTTTAAAGTTGAATCTCTTAGTACTGTGTATGCGACATGGAAATAGTCGATCCATGTCATGGTTGAATGACCAATTTGAGTAAGGTATCTAGTTAGAGATGTAGTCTTTGACTAGGTACTGGAGGGTGCGTGGTACTTGGAGGACAGTGGGCGAGCTAATTCCATATGTGGATTGGTGATGCTAGCCAAGGCTGTGGTAGGCTTATACCCAAACCCTTCTGTCCTGACAGTAATACTGGACCTCCGAGTCTAAGTGGCACACCTGAGAAATCGTCTATTGTTGTCTATACCTGGTTCTCTTTGGAGTTCCTAACATTGTTCTATACCTGACCTGGTTGAGATAGGTCAAACGTTGGATTCGGTAGAGTTTATGCCACCTAGACTGCTCAAACCTCAATTGTTAGAGATCTCCGAGTTAAAATGCGTGACAACGCATAAGTTGTTGATGAGCTGATTTGTTGTTGATATGAGTTGTATATTTGTTGTTGTGTTGTTAAGCTGTGATTGTGTTGTATGTTGACCTTGTTGAGGATGATGATAGTGTTGTTATGTTGTAAATTGAAATGATGTTAAGATGTATAGTATATATGTTGTTTGTCTCATGTGTCGAATGCGAAGATGATTATATAGTTGTTATGTTGCATATTAAATTATTATGAGTTGTTTATTGTCTCTAGCTTACCCTTGCATGTTTCCATGTGGTTTGGACTGCGATGATCATGCGTTGTATGGGAGCAGGGCAGGGATAGACTGGAGATGGCTGCTAGAGGCCACAGGAGGTGCCTGGAGATGGATTTTTTTTTGTAGGCTACCTTATAGTAGTATATTTTGTTGTATATAATTGGCTGACGTTGGTTGCTTGATTAGCAACTTGTGTTGTAAATATTTTATTATACTATTTTAGTATATATATTTCAGTAGTGTGTAGTGTTGTTCGTAGTGTGACAGCCATGGCGGGTCGTTACAAGTCCTAAACCAACACATTATATGGAACACCCATTGCACAATATTAACAAATTATGCACCCAAACCATGTCAACAACATCTCAACAATACTTGGTAGCACAAGAAAAATCATACAAATAATACCAACAACACAAACCTAGAGTCAACAACACTTAGTAGCATAGAGTGACTAAGCAAACAAGAGAACAAACTTCGGAGTGTGGCATTGGCTGCACAAACAAACCTGAATCGAGCAAGCACATACTAAATGACTAGAACAAAGGGAAAATAAACAAGAACAAAATGCATCACATTACATTTGAACAACATGATGAAACCCTAAAATAAGCAGAAAAAGAAGAAGAAGATGAACTTAAATGGAGCTCGCGTTAGCTGTGTCAAACTGGGTTGGGAGAGAAAAAGAAAACAAGCGGGCTTGCGATGGTTTCCAAAAATAGAGAGCTTAAAGCTTCCAATGGTCGTCGAAAACATGGAGAAGACTACAACAGTATGCACAAATAGGTTCATCGGAGAGAATGAAGAAGATGAATAATGAGAGCGCAAATGGGTTCGCACTCTTGTTATAAAATGTATGAGGTCAAAGGCTAACTAACAAATTCTATGGAGTGTTGACTTACTCATCATAAAATGTTTTCGTATATTTACAAAAACGGCTCAACACCATTTTCTACGTCGTGTGGAAGGACACTTGACATAGAAAGGGCGTTAGAGAAGTCCATTTTTACACTAGTGTGTATTTAGTTTTCTTGTTTAATTTGGATAATTTTTAAGTCAAAAATCGAATCAAACCACGTAACAAACTACTTTTTATATACTTTATTATGTAAAATGTTAGAACAATATACCCTTTTTTTTATTACTTCTTTATGATTAGAAAAAAAATTATTTAAAATGATAAAAGTTCATGATTTCACTTGAAAATCTTATAATTGTCAAGAAATTTTAATCAACGATAAAGAATATGTTAGAAGTGTTCTAAAAAATTTATTACTAACACTCTTAATAATAATAATAATAATAATAATAATAATAATATTATTATTATTATTATTTATTTTTGTTTGGCATATGTTATAATATGTTATTTTTATCACTATAAGGAACATGACTTATTTATCTAGATATTTTATTTTTACATACATAATAATTATGAATAAGATTAAAAATTATTTTTACTTATAAATATTTTGTTTGATAAGCTGGCTAAAGCTTATAAACTATAACTTAAAAGTTAAAAATTAGAAACTAACTTATTCAATTAAAATATTTAATAAAATTAGTATATATATAAAAAAGATAATAACCTTAAAATTAACCATAAAATCTAGTGAAAGGAACTACAGGTTGATTAGGCCAAATTAGGCTAAGGTAATAGATACTTATTTAAAAGGAGATAAAAACTTTTTAATGCCTAGAAAATATTGACATAAGTCTCTTGATAAAGTTTAATCCAACTTTTTTTTTTTAAACAAAATTCAACTTTTCAAAGTTTGATATGTTGAAAGACAAACTAAGTTAAGCCTGGTAAATAAATTAAAGGATCTTTCAATATGCTAATGAACCAAATAATTAAAATCAAACAAACAATAAAACAGTTATATTTACAGAAAGACACTTTTTAGAATTAAACACTTGTGTATCTTATCTAAATTTTATATTATTATTTTAATATATTTATACATGTTTTTACCTCAAGTTCATGTTATCATTAAAATTATTATATAAAATATTGTCCACTTTGTTATTTATTAAATTGTTAGAATTTTGTTTATGAAAAGGTACTTGAGTAAAATAGAGAAAGAAAAACTTTTATAAACTATCTTTGACTTTGATAAATATTTTATGTAACACTAAAATATGTGTAATCAAATTAAAAAAAGACCTATAAAAGTTTAATTTATCTAAATCTTCTTTTAAAATGTGGTCAAAATAATATCCAATTTAACACTTATTATAAATTTGGATTATGTTTGTGCATAATGAATGCATTCTAACGAATCAAATCATATCAAATGACCAAGATACATAAAAGCTATTTATTGTTTCTCATAAATGCGGATCCAATTCAACATTACATGTAAGTGACACTTAAATTATCTAAAATAACGTTGAAATATTAGTTAGTGTGATGTGATGTTGACTAAATGTTTATATATTTGTTTAAACACCATGATTTTTAGTTAAAGCAACTTTAAATAGCTTTATTTTAGATGAGTAAATTACATTGATACTCTTGAGCTATTGTGATATTAAATACATTTTTTTATTGTTTCAATGTTTACAATAACTTCTTTTATAAAGAGTCACAATGTATTTTTTTTAAACAATTAAGAGTGTGTTTGAGACTAAATCATACATCTTTAATCTTTATATAAGAGAAACAGTCTAGGTTTATTTATAGGTCTTTTAATTTTATTTAACATGAAATTAAGGAGCAATATGAATTTAAGACACCAAAACAAACACACGCTAAATAGTGTCTATTACTCAAAGTAAGAGATGTATGTACAATCTCACCGAACTTTAAAGAATGTTTGTTACTCAAAGTTTTACAAAGAATTTTATCACTAAATTTCTTCTAAATTACTTCCTTTAAAAATTAATTTTAATTATAATAAATTTTACAAATACCTATTTAAACAAATTAATTTTTTAAATTTATATTTTTATATAAAAAGTTAAATAGAGTAAAATCCAGAGTTTAAAACACTTTCTGAAAATCCTAAACACTATATTATTTAACTAAATAGTTTCTCAATAAAGTCTTCATTTATCCTTTTTAAGGAGTAAGTTAATTTTTTAAGAGTAAATAGTATAAATAATGTTTACAATTAAATCTAATTA